CAGGTAAATGCAGCAAAAAGGCCCACGGTCCTTGAGTTGGGGTCCTCTCTGTGCCCGATATTTTTAACTGTCGTTCTGTTGTTGACAGCAGGAGGTAGTTTGGCTCTGAGTGCCTGTCTGCAGAAGAGGGAAAGCCTGTCTTCTGCTGCAGAGGCTTGGCTGGTGTAAAGGCCAGCCAGCTCCGCGTCCCTCCTCCAGACCAGGGCAGAGCTCTTTGGCAGTGTCAGTCTTTGGAGCTTGTTTTCTCTTTATTGACCCTTAGTAACCCTCAGTTTTCACACAACTGTGGCTCTTGCCTGCTTCTGTGGGAGGGTGGGTGATCTGCTCCAGCAAACTTAGCACCCTTTGTTGTGCATAAAGAGCTGACACTTTGATCTTGAAAGGGTGGCCCTAGCAGTGCCTCTGGCCTTTGAAATGTCATATGTTCAGAATCTTCGATTTGTTGCTATGGAGACCTTCCTCATCGTGGCTGTATCTTAAAAAATAAAACAAAAATCCCAACTTTATTTTTTCATGATCTTGTGCATTAGGCAACTAGCATTTTGATAAAAGCCACTTATGATGTGTGAATTATTAGCAATGGTAGGGGTGAGGCAGACAGGAAGTTCCTGCTGTGTTGTGCATTTAAAAAATAGCGATCCGAGTGTGGTGGCTTGCACCTATAATCCCAGCTACTCGAAATACCGAGGCGGGAGGATTGCTAGAGCCCAAGAGTTCACTGGGTGAATGAGCCCAGTGAAAACTCATGGCGTGTTGACAGCAAGCCAAAAATGCACCGGGGAAAAGAAAGGAGGAGGTGGCTGTTAAGTGTGATAAGCAGGGCAGGTGGAGTTCTGGTCATACTAAGCCTGTAAGGCAGGTGCTTGTATTATCCCCATTTTACAGATGGGGCAGCTGAGACACAGGGAGCTTAAGTAACTTGGCCCAAGTCACCCTACTAACAAGTGAGAAGGTGGGATTCAAATATGCCGTCTAGCTCCAAACCCCTTCTCGTGATCATCACACTACACTGCCTCTCATAAGAGGGACAAAGGCCTCATTCCCAGTAAAGCCCAAGAGTCCCAATCCCATCTCAGCCAGGTTTGGGCACAGTTCCCAGGTGGACTCTCCCAGTGGGTGTGGTCTGTGACCAGGGCCCCATGGAGCACCCATCCGACCCTCTGAGTCACCATCACCAGAACCCCAAGTTTGGCCCCCTCATGCCAACCGCTGGAAGATTCGGGAGTGGCATGGGGTGGGCTCTCTAGCAGCTGCCCCCACAGGGACACCGCAGGCCACTGCTCCCTGGCAGGTCATCTAGCCGGGGTGCTGTGTCTGTGCGTTCATACTCGCAGACTCAGGGAAGGGACGCTCCTGCTATCAAGCTATCAAACCCAGCCATAAAAAAGGAATGGAATCCTGTCAGTTGCTGCAGCATAGATGGAACTCGAGGCCATTATCTTAAGTGAAATAAGCCAGGCACAAAAAGACAAGTATCACGTGTTCTCACATGTGTGTGGAAGCTAGAAAATGTAAACACATGCAGGTAGAGAGTGGAAGAAGAGATAACACACCGGGGAGGGTGAGCGGGGAGGTGGGCGGGGCGCTGAGGAGAAATGGGATAAAGGGTGGGAACACACAGCAAGACAGAGGAATAATTTCGGTGTTCGACAGCAGAGTAGGGTCACTGCACTTAACGAAAATATATTATCCTCGGGTGATGGACGACCACCTAAACACCCCGACTCGATCGCTACGCGGTACGTGCTTACAACAGAATTTCTCATGCCTCCCAGACATTTGCACCAACAACAACGAAAAAAGGATGCTCATAGATCCTAGTACCAAAAAGGGGCTTATTTTATTACATATCCCTGTTGCCACCCATAACATTATAAATGGGGCACTCACCCTCTGCATGGGAGGTCCAGGGCTGGCATTAAGTGCAGTCTCACTAGACCCCAGGACAGAGCAAGAGTCCTGGCAGAACGAGGGGATGAATGGACAGCAGCCCGAGCCTCACGGCTGCAGCCTCCCAAACAGTCCTGGGCTCCAGCGGGGAGATAGCGTCTTCCAGAGATGGAGCCACACTAGGTCATCCATCCAACTCTTGGTCCAGTCCCGAGCCACTCCAGTTCTCCCCTTCCGAGGAGGTGGCCATCTATCTACCCAGCCTTGGCTGACCTCCATGACCAAGAACAAGCTTTCCTAGGTTTTCCCAAGTGCCTGCTAAAGCTTTCTTCCCCCCAACCTGGCCTCGGAACATTTCCATAGCTACTGGGCCAGCTTACCCTGGGGCAAAGGACAAGGGGTCTGTAGATCGATCCCCTACCCCAGACTCTCCAGGAGGGAGGGACTTCAAAATGCAGATAGCTCAGCCCTACCCCCGGAGAGTCTGTTCAGTAGGCCCAGGGTGGCTCAGAAATATGCATTTTTAGCAAGCTCCCCAGGTAATTCTCATGCATGTTAAAATCTGAAGAGCAAAGAGCAGGGGACCCAGTGTCAGAATTCCCAAGTCTGAGGCCCAGCTCCTGTCACAAGCTGAGGGACCTCAAATAATTCACTTGCTCCCTTAAAGCCTCAGTTTCCTCATCTCTACAATGGGAGCAATATATGTCCTGCTAAACTTACTCATTTGCTGAAAATTATATGAGATAATGGTTGTTGTGGTAGGCTGAAAAATAATGCCCCAAAGGATGTCTACACCCTAATCCCTGGAACCTGTGAATATTCCCTTGTATGGAAACAGGGTCTATGTAGGTGTGATTAAGTTAAGGATCTTGAGATTGGGAGATTATCCTGGATTAGCCTGGTGGTCCCAAATGCAATCACAGCATTTTATGAGAGCCGGGCAGAGAGACATTTGACAGACAGGAGATGTCGTGAAGACCAAGGCAGAGATAACACAGTCACAGACAACTAACGCAGAAGCGTAAGCAGCAAGTGCCGTAGAAACATTTAATGTTGTCATTAATCAGAATACAGGTGTTAACTGGCCTGGTGTGGCCATTCCTGAGGAAAACTCCTGTGTCTATGAATAGCCTCTTCAAGAACTCATGCCTTTTGGTGCCTTTTAGATATTTTGAAGACTTCCAACAGAACAAGGCAGGGAACAAAATTTCCTACGACCATATATGACATTTGTTTTTTTGATCCGGTGGGACGGATGGGAAGGCGCGGCGCATGGAGTGTGGGCGTGTTAAGAGTAGAATGCTGGTTTTAAGTGCTGTTTACAAGGTGTTCGTATGTCCCCAGCGAGCACGGTTGTTCAGCGAGCGTGCGGTGCTGAATCCTGGAGGGGCCATAAAAAGTTTAAGCTTCTTAGAATCAGACCCTCACTAATAATATGCCTCGATCCGCTCAGTTCCTCATATTCCCAGAGCTCAGGCAGCTTTTCTGAAGCTTCTCTACTTCAGTCACGTGCCTAGGAGGTGACATGTTTGGTTTAGAGAAAAGAAAACCAGTGTTCAGCCCCTCCCTCCTAGTCCTGCGGCTGCGGGAGCTCCCTCCTTGGCCCTCCTCCCGCCCTGGGGCTGTGCTCTGGCCCACCCCGGTACACCGGGGACCCCCAGGCCCCGAATGGTGCTTCAGGTGCTTGGCTATCATCTTCCAGCTCTCGCTGCCTTCCGCCCCCACCCCTACGCCCGTCCTCCGGTGCCCGGAACTCTTTTCCTTCTCTCCACACACCCCCAGCGTCACATTTGAGGGGTGTCGCCTGCCACGGTCCATGCTGCCCATCTGGGCTCCTGGCTGGGCCCATGTTGGCACCACGAAAAGGACAAGAGTCAAACCGCATCCGAGCCCAGCCCAGAGAGCATGGAGCTGACCATAAATGACCTCTGTCACCACTGCTGCTGTGGCCCTGCTTCCTGAGCACGCCTCGGTCACGCTGCATACGTCCCCTCATTTAATCCCAGTGAGCACCTATGACACGGGTCCTGGTGTCCCCATTTTACAGAATATTCATTCCCAAATGTATGTGTGCCTTTTAGATATAGCTTGCAAAGAACGATCTCTCTATCTGCTTTGTATGTTGAGATTTTATCAGTCGGCAGAAAATAACCGTGTTTTTAATGTAAGAACAAAACACTACAATAATTAATGATACTTGTGGAAGCTGCTAATTTTCATCCAGAAAAAGTTACTAACAACTTTTAAGTAGTTAAATAGGAACATAGATTGACAATTAATACTGAATAGTATGAGAATACACTAGATACTTTCAGGAAGAATAGTATGTCTTTTTTGAACCAGCAATTGTTTGTAAAAAATACAAGGAATAAAAATGGAGACTATATTTTACTGTAAATCTAATCTTTTTAGGGTTGTTTGGGGTACTAAATTTATAACGTTAAACAAAATAACCTATAAGAATTGTATTGAATTTTTAGTAATTTAACCCCATTTAGTCTGTGATTCTTGCTTCTCTGCAGGACTCGGTTGAAATTAAGTCCTTATTTAGAATTGCAAATGTGCAGCACAGTGATGCAGAAGGAATCTAGCAGCTGAGAATGCTGATCAAGACTTACTGAACTAAAATGGCAAACTTAAAAAATTTACTCAAATTTTTAACAATAAAATGTAATTACATCCTTAAATCAAATTTCAAATTTGTTCTTGGTCCCAGAATTCATCCTAGGTGGTGCCACAACGTTTGACGCTGGCTTTCACTCAGGGTCAATATTATTCCCAGTGGCCTTTCAGCCCACATGTTTCCGCAGCTCTGGATGGAGGAGTGAGAGCAGGCCCTTACCTGAGCCCCTTCGTGTTCCCATCTCTTCCGTCCTCTGCCCCCCCCAGCAGGGAAGGCCCAAGAAGGGCCACAGTTTCCAGTCTCATGTCGTAGACAGGGAGGTAAGCAGGGTCGGGAACTCAGATTGCCGAGGGTGCCCTGGGAGGCAGACCAGAGCCCGTGCGGGATGCCTGGTTCCCGTGGCTGTACCACAGCTGGGGTCAGGGGCACTCAGAAGTGAGGAGCACAGCGGGTCGCCTCTCACGTGTTTCTCCCTCCTCCCTGACAGTTTGTGAAGTTTGCCAACATCGAGGAGGACACCCCATCCTATCATCGGAGTTATGACTTCTTTGTGTCCCGATTCAGTGAAATGTGTCACTCGAGCCACGATGACTTGGAAATCAAGACTAAGTGAGTAGGGGACAGCAAGGGTGGCCTGCTCAGCTCTCGGAAGAATCGCTGATGCGTTTCGTGGCATTTACGTCTGCTCTCATGTTGCTGGGGAGGAGGAGCACCGGGCTGGACATGGGTGGGTGGGCAGCTCTGGGCTCCCCACGTGTGGCTTCTAAAGGAAAAACCACTTGGGCCAGAGAACAGGGCTAAATGTAAGATAATGGGCTTTGAGCTTAACTTGAGAGCAAGTGACAGAACACACACATGCACACACCCCCCTCCATACACTCTTTTATTCAGAATTACATGCATTGATACTCCAGAAACACCATTATCCATCAAAATCTACACCCACCGATAAGGAGCCAAAGTCCTTGCTCTGCTTGATCCTGGCTGCCTTCCTCACTTCATTCCCTCTCCCTCCCACTCACTCATTTCCCCACCGCCACGGCCATGGCCACGGCCACCGCCACACAGGCCTCTTTGCTGTGCCTCAAGCACACCAGGGCGTTCTTGCCCCAGGGCCTTTGCACAGCCTGTGTCTGTGCCTGGAATGCTTCCTCCATGGATCCGCATAGCTCACTGCTCCACCTCTGTCAAGCCTTTGCTCAATGTCCCCTTGTCGGTGAAGTGGCCCCTGCACACGCCCACACACCCACTCCTGTCTTCCTTACCCTGCTCTGGTTGTTTGCTATGGTACTCATCCCTTTTGAACATGTTTCATCATTTACTGACTGTGTTCTTATTCGTTGCCTGTCTCTTCCCACTGCAA